ATGAGCGTCAGCGCCGCAGCCGCCACCACCACCGTTGCCTGCCGTCCCTGCCCGTCCCACGATCTTCCCCTCAGATTCTGAACGCCCGAAATGGGTACGGAAAGAACGGGTACAATGCCCAACAGCAGTTCCTGTTCATTTTGAACAGGATTCGCGGTCTACACCGCCGCGGCCTGTGTCCATTCGAGACAGAGGGCCGCCTGCCCAACAGCGGCCGCTGTTGGTTCGGGACAACATTTGTTGTTGGGCATTGTACAGTAGGGGTCTTGAAGAAGGAACCCTTTTTGTTGGGGAGGGGCTCCGTGTTCCTTGATTGTTTCAGAACTTGCCTCAGGTTTTCCCAAGGTTTTCGATGGGGAATCGAAGTTTAGCTTATGGGAAAGGGGGGCCTCGTTCCTTATTTAGGGTTCCTTAGGTCAACGCCTCGACTGTACCCATTCTCTCCGTGCCCATCTCGGGCGCCCGAACAAATGGCGGCAGCACATGTGCGCGTACGTGGCCAGCTTCCGTCCGCCCGCGCTTGAGCGCGGCCGCTCGTGCACGCGCGCGACCGCGGAGGGCGTGCGCGCACGCGTGCTTTGGCGTGCGTGCACCTCTCTCCTCCTCTCCCTCTTGCTCCCCCTTCCCCCTCCTGCTTCCCTCGCCTGCGCCTCTCCCTCCTGCTCCCCTCCCCCTTCCTGCTCCCCTCCCCCTCCTGCTCCCCTCGCCCTTCTGGCTCCCCTCCCCCTGCTGGCTCCCCCTCTCCCTCTTGTCTTTTGCCGGCCAACCCGCGCAGGAAGGGCGAGCGACTTTCCGAGGTTACCCTTGCAGCCTTCCCCTTCTCGGGCGGTCTCAGGCATGGATCAGCAGGGGGCGTGGATCAGTGACGGGTCCCGCTTCCATGGGAAATCGCGGATTTCCGCCGCCGAGCGAGGCGGCGGCGCCGGCCGCATCTTGGGGAGGTGCCATGTTTGCGCGCTCCCGACCTCCAGCCCATCCTCGGCCGCTTTCGCTGGCCGCGCCCCGCTCGCAAAGTGTCGACATGGCCTTCCATGGCCCTTGCATCCTTGCCGCGCGTCCTTACTGTACAGGTTGACTGTACGGTCGGGAACTTCCAGTCCCTTCTCTGCGGCCGCCTTCCCCTCCCCCCCCCTCTTGCCCGGGGGCGGCAAAGAGGGGGGTGATGACTAGGGGGGGGTGGATATCATGGCGGGGGCCATGACATCTCCCCAGGTCTCATGGCGCCTCTTCTTGCTTCATGACGTCCCTGGCCCCCCCCCGCTGGGCCGCGCACATGCCGCGGGCCATGACTTGCACCCCCCCTCTTGGGCGCCCCCCTCTTGGCCGCTCCCGACTTGCATGCTGGCTAACTCGCGATGCCGTGTCCCGGCCTCGCCCCGACGCGCGTGCGGCTCGCCTCTGCCGCGCCGCGGCGGAAAAAGCCACTCCGCGGGCTCTGGCCCGCCAGGCGGCGGCTCGACCCGCCATCCATGATGGCCAAGTTTTCCACTACCGCTACCACGGGTAGGACGGGGGGGAGGGGAGGACGAGCTCCTCCTCCTCCTCCTCCTCCTCCTCCCTCCTCCCTCCTCCCTCCTCCTTCCTCCTCCTCCCCCCTCCCCCTTCTCCTCCTCCTCCTCCTCCTCCTCCTCCTCCTCCTCCTCCTCCTCCTCCTCCCCCTCCTCCTCCCTCTCCTACCTATGGTAGTGGTGGTGGAGAAGGGGCCCATCAGTCCTCCTGGTCCCCAGGCGTCCACTGCCCCCCCGCGTTGCCGAGCCTCCCGCCCTGCAGGGGGCGGAGGGACACGCCGCCCGCTTGTGGGAAGGCGCAGCGCGTCGCCGAGGCCGCCGCGGCGACACGTCGTCCAAGAGCTCGCGGCCGTGAGGCCGGCTCGCTGGCGATGATCAAGCCTGATGATGTTCCACCCTAATTTCGCCTTGACCATCAGAGAGAATTCCGAGCACCAGACAAGTACCGAAGCTCGAGGTTTTTCACGCGTCGGGCCCGGGGAGGCCCTCGTCCGACACTGTCTCGACACTGTTTCGACACCCTTTCGACACTTTTCCGGGTGCTCGAAATTATTTCTGGGATGTGGTTCGTAAGTGCTACATCAAGCCTTCCTTGGGTCGCAAATCACGGAAGCCTGGTTTCCCCTCCCAATTTCGTCTGTAGCGTCGGTTAGCGTCGACTGACGTCTGGGATTCGGCAGGACAGCGCCGATTTAGCGCAGGTCAGCGCCGATTAACGTCGATTTAGCGTCGATTCGCCTCGAGTAGCGTCGATCAGCGTCGATTCGCAAGAGCCGACAAGATGGTACGGGAGGCTCCGATGAGTTGCCCCGAACTTTCATCTCATGAGGACTCCCTGGCACGAAGAACTGGCCATCATAAGCACTCTTGAGGCGAGCAACTCGAGCACATCCCGAAGTCTGTCAGTAGCGGCGATGCGAGAAGGGTGGACGGCCTGGCAGCCCTTACCTGAGGCCCCGCAGGGACACGCCGAAGCAAGGCCAACAGGACCGCAGCTGGAGGACGAGGAGGAGGAGGAGGAGGAGGAGGAGGAGGAGGAGGAGGAGGAGGAGGAGGAGGAGGAGGCACTCGTCGGAGGGGGCACAGCGGGAATAACGAGTCCGTCGGCGCGCCTCAAGGCCTGTGGCCCCCTTCCCGCCCTGCGCCCCTCACCTCCCTTCGCGCAGAGGTGCTGGGGCAGTGATGGGAGCAGGTGCCCTCTGCAGGCCCCGCAGCCAGCGCGCTGCACACCACCAGTTGCCCCGGCCAAGGCCATGCAGTGCTGGGACCTGCGGGGGCGGCCAAGAGGGGGGTGATGACCAGGGGGGGTGGACATCATGGCGGGGGGCATGATATCTCCCCAGATTTTATTGCGCCGCTTCTTATTTCATTGCGTTCCCAGCCCCCCCCCCGGCCGCGCACATGCCGCCGGCCATGATTTGTGCCCCTACCTCTTGGACGCCCCCCTCTTGGCCGCCCTCGAGACCTAGATTGACGTATACCACGAGCTGACAAGTAACACCCATACCTATACGGCCCATCGAATTCCTGGGGTGGAATTCCAGGGAGGGAGGGGGCTATCGGTTGGTGCTGTCGGATGGGCTCCCCGCTCGAACGGGACCCCCCATCGGGGTCCGACAACTCGCACCCATACCTATAGCGGGTTCATCGCCTTCCCTTCCCCATTCCTCCTCCCTACAGGTTTGACTCTGTGTGTGTTGTTCGCTGATCAGTATAGGCCTTCCTGGCGTAGGACCGCAGCTGGAGGACGAGGAGGAGGAGGAGGAGGAGGAGGAGGAGGAGGAGGAGGAGGAGGAGGAGGAGGAGGAGGAGGAGGCACTCGTGTGTGTGTGTGTGTGTGTTTGTGTGTGTGTGTGTGTGTGTTGTTCGCTGATCAGTATAGGCCTTCCTGGCTGGCGTAGACCAAGAGAGTCTGTCCAGGTGCTTGCGGCAAGTGCCGCCGCCGTGCCAGCGCAGCATCCTGTGTGGCTTCGCTTCGAGCCACCGCCCAGAAGGCCGTAACACTCGTGACGCCTCGGATCTCTTCCGGCGGGGGCTCCCGTGGGGCCTACCTGGGTTTGGTCGCCTTGGGGCTCCCCCTCCTCCTCCTCCTCCGCCTCCTCCTTCTCCTCCTCCTCCTCCTCATGCAGTCTTGTGGCCCTCTTGACATCCTCTCAGTGCCTCGGATCCCTCTTGGACCGGCGTCAGTGCCGTTTTCGGCAGTTTCGGGCTCTTGGCTGTCCTGGGAGTCTCTCGGGGCTGCCTTGGGGGCCGCTTGGGGCCCCCTTCGGCCGTGCTGGGGCCCTCTATTCGGCTGTCCTGGGACCCTCGTGGGCAGTCTTGGGGCCGTCTTGTGGCTGTTCTGGGCCGTCCTGGCGGGGCTTCTAGAGGCTTCTCTTTGGCTCCGCCTAGGCCGTCTTAAAATCAAAATCATCTTGAACCGGGAAGCCCAGGAACCCCGACATATTCAAACACCCACGTGATTCCACAGGTTTTCGAGTGCTTCCGACTTTCCTGAAGGGCCTCTGGGCCTTCTCTCTCTTATGTGTCTTGAAGGTCCCGTGGGGCCCTGTGATGCATCTTGGGGTCCTCTTGGGCGATTCCTGAGGCAATGCTGAGCCATACTGAAGAAGGTACTGGGTGCCTCTTGGGGCAACGTCGAGCCACCTGGGTGGCCCTTGTAGCCTCCCTTGGCCAACTTGGGCACCTTGAACAGATTCGGTCGGAGAGTCCCGGGGGGCGTCGGGCGCCCATGGGGCCTCGAGAGTGGGGGGGGGATCGTGAGAGCGAATCGGTGCGGTGCGTGGGGTGATGAGGCGCAGCATGTGCACAAAAGCCCTGCAGTGCCGTTTTTGATGCATGCTCCGCGTGCGGATCATGCATTAAGACATGCAGGGATTTCGTATTAAAAACAGCGATGAGTTCATGCATGCATTTATTCATGCGTTGGTCATGTATTATAAATCCGATTTTTTTTTTTTTTGAAAATCCTATGTATTAAAAACTGCCCTGTGCAAGACAGCATGTGGCGTGGTGCCACGCCTCGGGGTACCATTGGGGGCACCGTGGCGAGCGCACCAGTCCGAGGGGGGCCGAGGAAGGGGCCGGCCGGGGCTGGAGGCTTGGGGCCGGCGGCCAGGGGCTGGAGGCCTGGGGCTGGTGGCGGTGTACTGTTCTTCCTCCTCCCTCCTCCCTCCTCCGCTCTCCTCCCCCCCCCTCCTCCCCGCTCCTCCCTCCTCCTCCTCCTCCTCCTCCTCCTCCTCCTCCTCCTCCTCCTCTCCTCCTCCTCCTCCGCCTCCTCCTCCTCCTCCTCTCCCTCCTTTCCTCCTCCCTCCTCCCTCCTCCTCCTCCTCCTCCTCCTCCCTTCTTCCTCTCTCCTCCTCCCTCCTCCCTCCTCCCTCCTCCCTCCTCCCTCCTTCCTCCTCCCTCCTCCCTCCTCCCCCCACCGGCTTCTCTACGACGACCATTAGCACTAGCTTGGCTGAAGTCAGTTCGATTAACCTCGGCTGCCACGGTGGCTCAAGTGGGCTATTTCACGCCCCGAGTGATTATCAGAGCTATCCAGATTCAGCGCTACCGAAGAAGTTCATAACTTCCCGACAGCTTGGGATGGCCGTGCTGATACCGCAGAAGATGGCAGTGGCAACGACGGTTATTCTGGCATCGAACTTTGTTGCGATCTCACAAGCAAGCGGTGTTTGCGATTGTCAGAATTGGGCAGACGTCTACTACAGAAACCTTGCCTCGTGCGGCCGTGCCAACGAGCTGTACTTCTTGAGCAAGTGGGGCTTCTCGGCCGCTTATGCTGCCACCGAGCCCATCACCGGCCTGCCCCACAAGGTCTGCGCGGACTTCTTCCGGAACTTCCTGAGCACCGCCTGCGTGAACGTGGACCTGCTCGAGGGGTCGAAGCCCACCAACAGCTCCGGCCTGCAGTGGTGCTACGTCAGCAACGACTGCGACAACCTCAACGGCGGCGAGTACGCCACGAACCAGATCGGCTTCGCCCAGGGCGCCTGGAGCAACCAGCAGAGCGCGAGCACCCTCGCCTGGAAGATTTGCGAGCCGGCTGCAGACGCCATGCTGAAGCACATGTCGGTCCAGGAGGTCATCGATGCCGCCACGGAGAGCGACGTCAGCTTGTCTCGGATCCTTCGCCTGGCCTACCCTGCCGTGAACATCACCTACGGCCAGGCCGCCGCCTTCTTGGAGGCGCGGGGGGCTCGTTTTTGATCTCTGCCTTGCCCGAGGGAAGGCGTTGGCCTGCCCAGAGAGGGCCTGGGATCAAACACAAGTGCGTGGGATCTTGTGGCACGCCCGAAGCGAACAGATCATGCGCATCAGTGTGCGTTCTGACAATTTGTCGGTCCAGTTTGGGCCTGTTTTTGAAAGGCTTCATCCTGGGCCCAGAGGGTCTTCTTATCTACCAGAGAGCACGTCCGTGGTCTCTCGCTCTCTCTTGTGCCCGCGCGTTCCTTTCGGGAGTGGGGCCCCAGTGACAGCATACATACACACATGTACAACGCCAGCGTATACACTTTCTTTTTGTTGTATACGCAGACACTGGATACAATGAATGCACACGCAGGTTTCCCTTTCACCATTTTGCACACGTGCACAGTGCGCGTATGCAGAATCGTTGTCGTTTCGTGTGTCCCCAACAGTCAATCCAGAAGACTTCCCCAGACGAATTGTCGCGTGAAGGGGCGTGGACAAGCATAAGTGAAACAACGAGGGGACACGAGTCTAATCAAAGGATGGATCAGCTGCAGCCTCAGAATTACCGGCTTAGGTCTCTCTGGGAGTCTCCCGGGGGCCTCGAGCAGCCACCTGGTGATTCTCTTGGGGCCTGCACTTCGAACTTCGGGGCCCTGCCGGGGACGTCATGGAGGCCATCGGCTGGAAAGACAGGGAGCAACCCGAAGCCTCCTCCCGGAGCGCGAAGACGTCCCTCCTCCAGACCCTCCAGATCTGGGGGAGACGGGCTCCCGACAGCCTGGCGCTCACGAGTGGTGGCAGGCGCTGGGCTCGGCGGCCCAGTCGCAGCCTCTCACCCGGAGTACGTCTAGGCTCAAGTCGGGCCTGTCCCTCTACGGGAGGACGATTCAAAGATAGTCAAAACATAGTCTGGGGACGATTTTTTGGACTATTCTTAATAATTTGTACAGCATGTTTTTTGACTATTTTTGATTTTTTGTCCAAGATCTCCGTGTAGGCGGACATGCCCGACCCAAGAGTACGTCTATGCCTCCCAGATGGGGTCGGAGTAGATGGGGTCGGAGGATCGCGGCGCATCGCCGATGCATAGACGATGCGGCTCGATGTTGAGACAGGTGTTTCCCCACGCCGACGTCGCCGATGCATCGCCGACGTCGCCGATGCATCGCCGATGCATTGTCGATGCATCGGTGATACATTGGCGATGCGGCGCGATCCTTCGACCCCATCTGCGCGGACCCCATCGAGGAGACCTCTGGTACGACAGGATCGTGCCAGGTCGACGCGGCTGCAATCCCGCCGCGGGCATTCGAGGTTGAACACCGTCAGTGGCCCACAATCGGCCAATATGAAAACGGTCTGGCGATCGAAAAGCCGCCGATTGTCCGAGGCTGAACCATCCACGCGGTGTCAGAAACCAACGCCGGGGTCGTCACGATACGAACCCGCCGTACGGTTGATGGACAGCATGCTGCGCCCTTCATTCCCAACCATCCTGTGTTGAGATGTGTCCTAGTTTTGAATACGCATGCCCCCGCGTTCTTCTCCTGTCCTCCTATTCCTCCCCCCTCCTATCCCTGCCTCTGCCCTCCGCATGTCTATTTCGGCGCACCCCTCACACGTTCCGTGGCTCCATAGGGAGCTCCTCTTAAGGCACAAACAATCTGCGCCCGCATGCCTGGTCCACGCCATGTCGGCGCAGCCCTCACATGTGTCATGGCCCCAGACGGAGCTCCACCTAAGGCCCAAAAGTTTGCGCCTCCATACCAGGTCCACGACATTAGAGGCGCACCCCTTACACGTTTCGTGGCCCCACATGGAGCTCCACCCAAGGTCCAAAACTCTGCGCCCGCATGCCTGGTCCTAGCGCATGCTTGACGCGTCGCGTATTCCCACCAACCCATCCAACACTGATGACCAGGCGAGTTGAGACGATCAGGCAAGTGTAGGAGCAAAGAGGGGACAGAAGTTCTCGGTCGAGGGAGGAGGAGGAGGAGGAGGAGGAGGAGGAGGAGGGGAGGAGGAGGAGGAGGAGGAGGAGGAGGAGGAGGAGGAGGAGGAGGAGGAGGAGGAGGGAGGAGGAGGAGGAGAGGAGGAGGAGGAGGAGGAGGAGGAGGAGGAGGAGGAGGAGGGGAGGAGGAGGAGGGAGGAGGAGGAGGAGGAGGAGGAGGCGGAGGCGGAGGCGGAGGGAGGAGGAGGGGAGGAGGAGGAGGAGGAGGAGGAGGAGGAGGAGGGAGGAGGAGGAGAGGAGGAGGAGAGGAAGGAGGAGGAGGAGGAGGAGGAGGAGGAGGAGGAGGGGAGGAGGAGGAGGAGGAGGAGGAGGAGGCGGAGGAGAAGCGGATGACTCTTGAACAGGTTTTTAGAAGCCCCTTGGGGCGTTTGGGGGGCATCTTGGCGGGCCAGGGGCAGTCTTTGAGCGTCTTGGGTGCCACTGGGATCCTCTTGAGGCCTTCTGGGGGTCTCTTGGGGGCCTCTTGGAGGCCCCTTGGGCGCCTCTTGGGGCCGTCTGGGCTCCTCTTGGGGCCTTCTTTGGGCGCTCTTGGGAGCTTGAGGGGCGCTCTTGGAGCCATCTTGGAAGGCATTGATAAAACACGATGGGAGCTTCAATTAGGGTCCCTCCTCGGGAGCCCAAACAATTGCCTCTTGGGACGCTCTTGGGGTATTTTTGGAGCGCTCTTGGGCGCTCTTGGGGCCGTCTTGGAGCCCTCTTGGGCCCCTCTTGGAGCCCTCTTGGGCCATCTTGGAGCCATCCTGAGACCTCGGAAGGCCATCGGAAGCGAAAAGGCGAGACCGCACGCCACACGGATTTTCCTTGAGTTTTGGACGGATTTTGGCCTCTTGACGGCCTCCTGGGGAGGCTCCGTGGCCACCTGGAGCCGTCTTGGAGTGTTCTTGGGGCCTCTTGGAGCATCTTGGGAGCCATCTTGGCTATCTTGAGCCATCTTGGAGGTCATCTTGGGCTCTCTGAGGCGATCATGGAGCCGTCTTGGGCCATCTTGGACGCTCCAGCCCCTCGCGGACCCCCCAGTCCAAGTCCAGGGGAGGGGGTAAGGGGGAGAGGTGAACCCTCCCCGAAGGAGAAGACGGGGGTTGGAGGAGGAGCCTCTCTAGACCACCTACGCCCAGAGGGCTGGTGGGATTCGGCGCACCTCTCGCACGCTTCGGGCCTCCATGGGGAGCCCCACCATCGGCTTAAACAATCTGCGCCCGCATGCTTGGTCCACGCCATTTCGGCGCATTTTTCGCACGCTGCGTGGCCCCATGGGAGAGCTCCGCCTAATTCTTTACGCTTCGCGTATCCCCACCAGCCCATCTCACAGCAGCAACTCTTGCGAAGCATGCCGACAGTCGTGTTTTTCAGGCGTGTGTCCGCTTGGCCCCGCATATCTCCCCTGTTCCTCCTTCCTCCCGCCTCCTTGTACATCCTCCTCCGGGAGAAGGAGGGCGAGGCGGAGGAGGAGGGAGAGAAAGCGCTCCTCGTGGTTTGAGTCGTTTGGGGTTTCTCGTCCTGGTGTGAGTCGTTCGGGCCCTTCTTCCTGGTGTGAGTCGTTCGGGCTCTTCGTGGTGTGAGTCGTTCGGGCTCTTCGTCCTGGTGTGAGTCGTTCGGGCTTCTCGTGGTGTGAGTTGTTCGGGCCCCTCGTCCTGGTGTGAGTCGTTCGGGCCCCTCCTCCTGGTGTGAGTCGTTCGGGCTCCTCGTGGTGTGAGTCGTTCGGGGCCCGTTCGTCTGGTGTGAGTCGTTCGGGTTCGGGTCGTTCCTCGTGGTGTGAGTCGTTCGGGAGCCTCTTGGGGCCTCTTGGGGGCCTCTTGGGGGCCTCTTGGGGGCCTCTTGGGGGCCTCTTGGGGCCTCTTGGGGCCTCTTGGGGGCCTCTTGGGGGCCTCTTGGGGGCCTCTTGGGGCCTCTTGGGGGCCTCTTGGGGGCCTCTTGGAGGCCTCTTGGGAGCCTCCTGGGGGCCTCTTGGGGCCATCTTGGGGCCTCTTGCGACCTCCTCAGAAGCGCAAATGAGCGCTGCCCCCTGAGAAGGACAAAATGAGCCCAAAACCTTCGTAAAATCAATGATTTTGCTATGAAGGACGATGAGCGCGGCCCCCTCAGAGCGCCAAAATGAGGCCAAAACCGTAGTAAAATCAATGATTTTGGCTTTCAAGAAGAGCAGAGGGGCCAAAGTGATTCCCCCCGTCGGGGCCAGAATCCTCGTGAGGGTCGTCGTTTTTTGGCCCTTCCAGGAGTCAAAAAAGGCCGCCCTGACCACGCTCGGCCCGCCCTCTCCAGGCCCAGGGGGAGGGGGTAGGGGGAGGGGTAAACCCCTCCCCGAAGGGGAAGAAGGGGGGTTGAGGACAGAGAGAGCTCTCTAAACCACTCACGCCCAAAGGGCTGGTGGGATTCCTAAAAGTCTGCGCCCGCACGCCTGGTCCACGACATTTGAGGCGCACCCTCACACGTTTCGTGGCCTCATAGGGAGCTCCGCCTAAGGCCCAACAATCTGCGTCCCAACACTCTGCGTCCGCATGCCTGGTCCACGCCATTTTGGCGCACCCTTCACATGTTCCGAGCCCCCTCAGGGAGCCCCACCTAAGGCCCAAAGATCTGCGCCCGCATGCTTGGTCCACGCCATTTTGGCGCACCCCTCACTCGCTTCGTGGCCCCATAGGGAGCTCCACCTAAGGCCCAAACAATCTGCGCCCGCATGCCTGGTCTACGCCATGTCGGCGCATTTTTCGCCCGCTGCGTGGCCCCGTGGAGAGCTCCGCCTAATACCTAAACCTCTGCGCCCGCATGCTTGGTCCACGCCATTTGAGGCGCACCCTCGCACGTGTCGTGGCCCCATAGGGAGCTGCGCCTGAGTTCCAAACAATCTGCGCCCGCATGCCTGGTCCACGGCGCACCCCTCGCGCGCTCCTTGGCCCCATAGTGGGCTCCACCTGAAGCCCCCGAATCAGCTGCGTCCGCAGGCCTAGTTCACGCAAGCTCGGCGCACCCCTCACACATTTCGTGG